GTATGTATGTATGTATTTATGTATGATGTATCATGAACTTAGATAATTTTTTTTATTTCTATTTCTAAAAAAATGGTGCCCAAGATCAATTTGTGGGGTTTTATTTCCAACATAACCTGTCAAACACCATCCTTGGGGCTTAGAATCCACAATTTCCTAGATGGGCAGCCTAGGGAACTAGACGTCCGCCTAGCTGCCTGGGCGACCGAATTCCTTTTTTCTTGGTCATCTGATTTGTCAAGCTCTCATTGTTTGAATGTAAAAGTCACTTTTTCACATGAAAATCCCTTTTTCTACTTAATCCATTTCTCTTATTTTCAACGATTTCTCCTTCAAAGATCATATGATTCCAATCATTTTCCATAGACTTACAAGATCTATACCTCTATTTTTCAAATTGAAGCCTTTTTTTTTTACAAAATCTATCATTCCATGTACTGGACTCTTTTTTCAATTTTGAACTCTGATCTCTCTAATTGTGAGTTTGATATTTTAAATTAGTTTTGAGAAATTGCCAATCCGAATTGGGAATTGGTAAAGACTTTTCTATTAAATGCAGTATATAACATATAATATTATACTAATTCGCTATAATAGCCTAGTTGGTTAGCTTCTGTGGCTTTTTATGACTTGGTTGGGAGTTCGAACCCCCTTCTAGCCCTTCTAGCCCTTTGATCCTTTAATACTTTAAATTTTTTTTTTTGCTGGATCACTTTTCTCTGCTGATCTGGATTGGGATCAATGGGTGCCTGATTTACCCACTGATTCCATGTTTTAAAACAGTGTTTCAAACTGATAAATAGTATTTTGATTCAAAAAAATCCTCAAAAAAATGCGATCAGTGTTTGAATATTCAATTTTTTGGATGATTTTTAGGGACTGAAATGGCTTAAAAAGAGACATTTTGGATGGCAAATCAGTGTTTGTCTGTTTAAAACTTTGAATCACAATTTTTTAGGACAGAAGGTGCTGTTTGAGTAAAATACAACAGATTCAAAAACATCGTCAGAAAATGTTTAAATCGTATCATTTTTTGATGATTTTGAATATTTTGAATTCAGTTTTTGAAATTTCATTCACCCTCGAAATGCTTTTAGTTCAATTTTGAATGATTATTTATTTTTTTTACTTTTTTTTCTTCAAATGAAACAGTTCATGATTTTGAAGTTTTTGGATGTGTTCTTTTCTTCTTTTTCTTTTCCATCATTTTGAGCTGGATAGCCCCAACATTGGTGATCTAACAACCTGAACTGGTCTTGCTTAAAAAACAGGACCCCGGTTCCTGTTTCTTGAACCCTGGTTTGATCTTATGTTTGAACAGAACTAATGTTGCATCATGGGGTTTTACATGAAAGTGTATGCATAGTTCTTGCAAAATTCTTCTAGTTCACCTCTTCAATATATTTCTATATCGTATTAAATGTTTACCTATTCTTTTCACAGATCCATTTCATGAGGTGAAGAGGAAAAGGGACAAGAAAAAAGAGGTACTATGGATTCTACAACAAACTGTATTGATAAGTTTTCGTTGTATTATTCATTTGTTCCAAAGAATAAGTGATTATGTAATTATTTAAAATGTCATCAGATTTCTTGGCTTGAGGTCTTTTACTTGCAAGTGCTTTTGTACCATATAGAATTTTTGCAGCAGGAATGTTGATATAACTCTTCGTCTCCAGAGTACATTGCACAAGAGTCCCCCTGAAATAAGAAGACGTCCAGAGCCCACTGGACAAGTGGTTAGAACTCATATGGTGTGGGATCAAAACGCTCGAAGAGGAGGCTATGCTCGTAATAAATTACCTGGTAATGCATATTGGAGACACAACTGGTTAAGTCATACTTGATTATGAATAATATTATTTCATTTTAATTTTTCTTTTGTGAAGTTATTTTATTTGAAACTCCCTTGTTGAAAGTTAATTTTTTTCTGGTTTATGATTGGTGGTATTATTTCTTTCTTATTTCTGCATGCATCTTATTCTTTTGCAGTGAATTATTGAGTGATTTAGAAATAGATACCCTGTTAGGTATTCTCCCATATATGTTTGTTTCTTTTCCTTCGTACTTTTTGGGAGAGTTGAGTTTGGTGTATTATTAACATAATGTTGGCATATATATATCTGGATTTTTACTACACGGTAATAACATGCATCTGTATTTCCAAGTTTACAATAGATTAAAATTGATCTCACAAGAAGTACACTGATTAGTTGACTAAACAAAGAAGTGTAATCTATTGGTTAGCAGCAATAGATGGCAAATTGATTTTGTGGGAATCGCATAAACCAACCATAACTCCATAAAATAATTCGGGCTCTCATATAATGAGTGTATTTAAATATTATGTCGTCATACTATTCATACGTCCTTGCAATTCTGGGATCTGGATATTGTTTAATGCTCTTTGAATTTTCTGTTCCCCCATTAAGTGTGTTGAGTAATTAACTAACCGATTTGTGAAGGTTGTGGATGGTTAGTATTTGTTGTAGGTTAAGGTTATTTACTTTTATATTAGTTCGCAGGTGCATTGATGGGTAACATGTGAATAGCTGCAGGAATCAGCAGGGAATTCCGTGTCGTGAGGGATAACAGATTCAATCAAAATGCAAACAGGGACTCAAAGTTGTCATTTCAGTCGCAGTCAGCATCTTCAAAATATGTCACATCAGATCCTCAGAGGTAGTTTTATCGGCTTTTTTATTTCTTAATTCGGTTTTGACAATGTTCCTCATTTGATTTTCTTTCATATTCGCTTCTAATTTTTGCTGTCAGCTTAGTATTTTGTTTTGATGTTTCTCTCTTATTTTTTAAATAGACCATATTGTGTTGTTGTTGTCTCCATTGAATTTATTATTGGTAACGCAAGAATTCACTGCACGGCTACATTACTCATGCTTCAACACAAAATTTAGCACCTTTATTCATTTCTACTTGAATGTCAACTTATAACTTAAAGGTGGTTGAAGTAGTACCAGGGGTTTCACACAAGGTATGTACAATAAAAAAATTTAAAAAGGCTTTACAGAATCATCAACTAAACCTTGGGAAATCCCCAAATTCCTACAACCTAAAAGTTCAGAAATACAAATAGTTTTTGACTTGCAATTACAGCTTTACAACATGAGCATCACTATTTTACAACATAACTGAAACAAAATACATCAAAAGCAAATACTAATGACATAAATGTGCATGAGTTTAATATGACTTATGGGAAGCCGATTCAAAAACATTCACCGCGCAAGAACCGCAACGGTATGGATACAACCCTTGCTATCTATCACTAGGAACTAATAGCACAAGAAGGCGTGGTTCTAATCTAATCTCGAGAAGCAATCACACAAGCACTAGGGTTTGGTCGAAACATCCAAACACTACTGGGAACAAGTGGGTGTGGCTTGATGTGTGAGGCATACTAGCAGTTCACTGTTATGCATCTCATACTTGCATTTACAGCAACATAGATCATAACGGTTTGCATTTAATAGGCTCAAAACTACACCATAAGAAAACATATTATAAAAGCTCTTTAATATGGACATCAAACTACTTCATGAAGGGAAGATGAAGTGAAAGAGCTTACTATTATGAGAGATTCCAACAGCGTACACTTTCAAAATAGTACGTTGTTTCAATGTAGGAGTGCGTGATGAAGCTCAAGACGCCACACTTCCATTATGGAGTAGAGAGCATGCATTAATTCTCACCAAGGGGGAGAGAGTCAAGATGCTAGTGTTAAGGTGAAGAGAAGAAGAGATGCAAGAGATCAAGAAATAAGTGTGATGTAGAGAGTGTTTAATGAAGTGGGATGACTCCTATTTTTAAAAGTTCCATGTGTGGGCATTAAATCTAGATTAGAACTTAACCACCCTTTGAGTGATCCAAGGGTTGAGAGAGGCCTAAGATGTAGCCTTATCAATTATCATTGATAGCTATCATATGGATGGTGATGATCAAGCACACCCTTTTCGGCATGCCCATAAAAGACCTCCAAAACTCCAAAAGTTGCATAAGTGCCCATCAAACCCTAAGTTTCAATTTGAACACATCTCAACCTTGATTTCTAAAAACATCCAACCATCACTGTTGATTTTGAACTTGAGCTTTGAAAACCAAATGAGGGTGGCGTGCATCTCTCTTCTTCCATCTAGTTGTTAACTTAATGAATTGTCATTATCATGTGGGACATTACATTATCTTATGTCGTGGTGTGTCCCTCTTATCCTCTTACCACCAATCACAACTCCTCATTTTGAAAATCTAATGGTTTTCAAATCACAAAATTACTAGATTAAAGATTTTATGCAAAATATAAAATTCTGACACTTATACATGTGCACATACACATGTCACCACGTGTCTCACACATGTGCCACAAAGCACTACACTTATCAAGATTATATGCAACAACCAAACAAGGTTTTCATGTCAAGGGTAGGCCTATCCACATCATACCCAGAGGGCAATGACTTGGCAGTCCTATAGTATGCACGTGTGGCACACATTGGCCACTTGTGTGCCACACACCACATGTGTGAACATCCTTATTTGGAATTAGCATACAACAAAATTTTAATCGAACATATTTTCTTGAAATAATTTCTAAAAATTATCTAAAATCACAATACATTATTTTTAATCGTTTTCTATGAAAATGTCATGGTCTGGCACTTCTCATAAATCCGGTTGGGAAGTTAGGATCCTATAAGAGGTTGGCTATATGGTACTCCATTGGGCTAGACCCGAAAGCCCAATCGAATTTCTTAGACCAAACCAACAAGCCCATAAGAGACACAGACTTCAGTCAGAACATGAGTGGACGTCAAAGCAAACTGATAGGTGGTTGGATTCCAGGATGTTCAGTGGATTACAAGTGCGCCTCCCAAGGACATGAACTTTTGTAGATGCGGGGGTCCTCTCTTAGTACATGTGCACAGTTCTGATAGGTGGATTTTACCTCATCAGAATGGCTTCCTAAAATATGACTGTCCATGCACATGTTGTGAGCAAGCTACATATATCAGGAATTTGAGCTTGTCCTCTTAGAGCCCAGCATAGCTTACACAGGGCTTGTACACAAAATATCTCAAACAATGCAGGATCCACTGATCCCTAAGCCTTGGCTCACATGACATGAGACGAACGCAGTTATACCAACCCTAACTAGAGGAAAACCTTCAACCGTCTCGGTTCACAATATAGTCCAAGAATTTGTCTCATTCAAACGGGGTTATTTCGGCTTATATGGATCCCATGCTCAAAGATTCCAGTAGCTACAATGTTCTTGGTCAATTCAATTGTGACTCTTAACAGTGCTAGCATTGCGCATAAGGCCTTAAAAGGCTGTAATTCCAGCAATGGTGTTCTGATAATAGGGTAATGCCGTAATTTAGGTGTGGCATTCTGTATACAAATTCCAAAATACTGGGGTCTGTTAACATATACAATTTGATAGTATTTTGTTTTGTCCTATGATAGGGTGAGTAACTGGTTTGGTTTCCAACAAGAAGTGAGGCTTCTATGTTCTTTAAGCCAAAAGCGTAGTTATAATAATGTATTTCTTGGCCAGACATGTTAGAAATTTAGGATATTAGTTGGTGGCTAATGGTTATTCTGTTCGTTCATATAGCAGTTTGTGTTTCCTGTGTTGGTTACCTTGAGAAAATGATTTAGATTATTATGGTGAGGTCCTTTTACGTGCTTAGGTGGTGGGCTGTGGGGTCCATATGGTCATCCATGGGTGTTAAGAAGTCTAGAGCCCAATAAAAATGTTATTCCTTTGTTTAACCATCTTCTATCACCATTTATCCAAAAAAATGGTTTCTTTTGGGATATGACTTGCAACTTGATAAACCATTATATGCATTGCTGCCAAAATTGTTGGAAGCTTTTATCTACTTTCAACAGTTTTAGCCTCCTTAAACTAAAGACAATAGTGCTAGCCTCCTTGTATCCATTGATGTGTTGAGATTACCAGGGTAATAATGAAGCATTGTCCAGAAATGCAACGGCATTACTGATTCATTTGTCTTCTTTTTACTATGTCATCTAAGTTTTTCTTTCTTATGTCACAATGTGTATTGCGTTTAGTAGTTACCTGTTTATTCTCAAAACCTAAGTCAGATTGTCCTTTGCTTCCGAAATTAAGATTTTCATTTTTGCTGTTTTCTCAGTAAAATCCATTATTTCCATTAAAAAGAAAGGCAAGTTTTCTCCCAATTTGCTCTTAGTTCTAAGAATAAAACCATGAAAAAAATTATATTTCCACAAAATAATGAATGGAATTGCTAAGGAAAAATGGCCGTTGCTCAAAAATCAGAGTTTCTATTGTTATTCCCAGAATGAAATTAGAGGTTCATGATGAGAGAGGGAAAATGGCCATTTCTTAAAGATCAGAGTTTTCATTTTTACGAGAAATGTTAACAAAATTAGAGTTTTCATTGTTATTCCGAGAAAGAAACTGGAGGTTCATGGTGTGTGTGTGTGTGTGTGTGAGAGAGAGAGAGAGAGAGAGAGAGAGAGAGAGAGAGAGAGTGAGCAGTTGTTACAGGAGTTTGTAGCAAGACCCATGAGAGAGAGAGAGTCACAGGGAGGTTAAGGGACGCCAAGGACATGGAGACAAGAAGGGGAACGGCAGGAATGAGAAAGGGATTGATGGTTGGGTTGGGAGCTGAAGAGAGAAGGGAGAGGAGGTGAGGGCAAAAACCAAATCCCGTCAAATATCATGATGGAGAAACATAATGCTGTGAGATACCGTTTTAAATATCCTTGAAAATTCAAGTTAGAGTTGAATATTAAATTCACTTCGGAGTCGAATTTTTGGAGATTCAGATATGGGGTAGTTATTTGTTATTAAAAGATACGATTTGACTGTATCATAGAGGGTTCCTATACTTTGCTGATTAAAATTGGATTCGACTCTAATATCCTGTAGTATCAGGAGATTAGGGTGCTATCAAACAGATCCTTAGTACTTCACATGACCAAGTGCTTTTATTATATGATAATATATTTATAATTGCCCTGATATGTCTATGAACATGGTTACAACATCAATTCTTTTGTGGTTTTAAATTAGTTTTTGGAGTATTTGACATGGATAGTGCACCACTTCTAAGCATCTGCACAGAATGAAATTTTATATTATATTACTGTCTTTGTGGATTGTTGATTTGCATGCTGTTCTGTCCCTGTTTATTATTGGCTCAGGTGTCTAAGTTACCCATTAGCTAATACGATCTTTTGATAATATCATGTTAAACTATAACATCATTATGGGTTCTGCTCACATGATTGGTTATGCAAAGACCTTCCCACTTAACAGCTACAATTTAATTATTGAGTCAGCAGAGTGTTAGATTGCCTAATTAAGGCATATAAAATTATATGCTGATTGCTTTGTCACCGCCTATTGTTGAGGGAGTTCTTAGGTGGTTCAGCTGAGGCAATATTACTCAAAAGCCTCATCCATGCAATGTTATATTTTGGTTCATGTGTTAGCAATGTAGAAATGTAGTTTTTTATTGCGGTTTGAAGGAAGATGATGTGTAAGAGAAAGAAGCTTCTTTTTTGGAAAATTATGCAATAAGATTACATACAACCCCGTCTTTTTTTTTTTTTGGCATTTTATTGAGATGTTACATTGGAATTATACCTTTTCTGGGTTGTGCATGCAAATACACTGATATTTGTCAGCACTGTGAGTTTGGATGTTCATCTATTAATTGTTCTCATTTTCCTGTAGCTCTTCCGGAAACTTAACTGATCAAAAGCACTCCGATTCCAATGGAAATCCAGGGGCCCAGGTGCGGTCCAAAGGTTCCGGTAGTGGCCGTAATTCTCTCCATGGCTATGCTCGCAATGCTGAATCTAATGGAAACCAGAGGTCGATATTATCGGGGGGGATACATGCTACAGTTTCCAACTTGCCTTCACATTCCCAAGCGAAGCCTGTGCTAAATTCTGAGGGCTATTCTCCATCATCGACAAATAATTCAGTAACTGGGGTGTACTCTTCAACTTCAGATCCAGTTCATGTGCCATCGCCTGATTCTAGGTCAACTGGAAATATTGGGGCAATTAAACGTGAAGTTGGCATAGTGGGTCCTCGGCGCCAGTCTGAGCATTTGGTTTCACTTTCCTCTATTTCAAGCAGTGCATTTTCAATTGGCTCCACGTCAGCTTCATCTTTTGGACATACGGGTTCCTCATTAAAGAATGACCATTTTACTCAATCGTCGATACAAGAAGCTGTTACTTCCAGTGTCTCAGTTAGCCGTTCTTTTGCCAGTAATCAATATGGTAGCAAGTCCCATCAGCCTGTCAGTCACCAGAAAGGTATGATATTATTGAAAAGATGAAAGATGAGTGATCTATATGTTTCTTTTCTGCACACTTTGTGGTAGCTACTTTTTTTCCCCTCCGGTGGATGTTTTGTAGCAGCAACTTCAGAGAGTATAAAATTAAATATTTTCTGATGAATCATTTTGATGATTCTTTTATCATGATTACTGAAAGATGAATTGCCATGGAACTTGATATTTTAAAAGTCACCAAAGAAATTGTAATAAATTGAGGTTAGTTGACAAAAGACTTTTGCAGGGGGGGGGGTATTAGGTAAAACTGATTCTCATCGATGAAATGTTGGTTGATCGTCTATTTACGAGTATAGAGGATGAGTAAACTATTCCTTGTGGGTATTATACAAGCTGTGACCTAAATTACTACAGTACTTAAACATCCCTAGTGCTAGTAGTCAAGTACACACATTAATACACGGACAACTTTACTGTAAACTTTGGATCTGAAATCCGTTGTCCATTTGGGGTGTCACTGGCAGATGAAATGATGGCTGGTGATGGCGAGAGCGCAGGACCCTCCATTGGGTCATACCCTGTTCTGGTGAATCCTGGCTCTCTTCTATCACCTTTTAGCGTTTGGCCTTCAAGTACCCAATGACTGTAGTTTTCCAATGTCCATTGGATACTTTTCCAATTTACTTATATCAACACATTTATTCATATCAACATATTAATATAGCTTGAAATAGTTGCCTGACTTGATGATCTTTGAGGCAGCAGCAATGACTAATATGGAATGGAAACCCAAGCCAACAAACCAGAAACTGGGCATCAGCAACCCCAAAGCCACTGGAACTGGGACCACCACTACTAGTGCTCCATCATTGGCGAGCACCCCACATAGCTCAAAAGAGGAACCGGCAGCAACAGGCCTGCATGACAATTTCAGCCAAATGGCCATTAAAGAAACTCAGCATGTGATCATACCGCATCACTTCCGGGTCCCTGAAGCTGATCGTACTCGCCTTACTTTTGGTAGCTTTGGCGTAGACTTTGACTCTAGAACTGCCTTTCAAGCCCCTAGAAATTCTGAGGAATCGAAGGATGAAGCTGCTCCAAGGTTTGTGCGAATGTTCAAATTTTTAGGATATCAGAACGGTTTCAACTGTCCAAATAAAATTTGAGTTTTGAAATTCCTGCCAAAATTTATTGGTATATGATAATTTGGTCACCTATTTAACACAAGGTATTTTGGTAAAGATAATGTTCAATTGAAATTCACCCAAGCTTTGAACCCAAAAATGTATTTTTCTCGGTGTTTGACAACAAGGATACAGGCTTGGACTTGCCAGGGTCCCGAGAGCAAGTCAGCCTCAGACTCTGCCAAGTCAGCAGTCTGACTTGGTTGATTCTCTGTGTGAATACACAGTGCTAGTTAATTTAAAATTTAATTTTCTTTTGAAAATGATCATCTAATGATTTTTAAGTGGTTCCCAAATTGTCACGAGTGAAAAAAATCCTTCCGATTAGGGCTTTTGCTCCAGGTTGTAGGTGTACAATATGATCCTGCGGGAGCATATTGTTTGCCTGCCTGATCCCAAGGTTCTACGAGCAGTTATTCATTACTGGTCATCATACTTTTGTCAGTCTCAGTAATGGGCTGAAACTATATTTCACTGAGATTTTCCCTAAGTGCCAACACTATCATTCTTATTTCATAGCTTTATTTTCCTTGGCATTTAGCTGAACGCAAATGAGTATACCATCATAGATGTAAAATACTGTGCAGCCATGCATCCTTGGGTGCCGTTGCTCTCAGTGAAGCTGTGACCAATGACCAGTTAACTTTGGTGGAAGATAGAACGGGCATCACTGAGGCTGATACTCAAGCCTCAGTTCCAACTTCTGAAGGCTTGCAGAGTGAAGACAAGCAGGTTGGGGCACAAAATTTGCAGAGCTATGGGAACATAGGCTTGGTTCATGATCATAGCCCTTCATACAGAACAGAAGAGATAGACCAGCAAGATACTCCACCCCTTCCAAGTTTTGAGGTGAGACCTTATGTGGTCATGCATCTTAGTTTCTCATGTTTTCTCGGTATCTAAGCCATCGAAGGAACTGGTTCTTTTAGTGAGAACATATGCTCTAATTCTATGGACCATGGAAAACCAATACAACATTAGACCATCTCTATCTAATAAATCTGTGTAGATGGGTAGCGAGTGACACCCACCTGTTATACTCCGTCACCATCTATGTCTTATTGGACATTGAATACCAAGTAGAGCATTTTTTTTCATGGTTATTGGATTCTATATATTATCCATTTCTGAGTTTCACGCTAAATATCCATGTTCTTGGTGTACTTTTTGGTAGTATCTATTTAGAAGTGACTATGATCCACTCTCTCTCACCGAATGGTGCTAGTATGCTCTTACCATATACTATTTGAATGAAATACGAGATTCTTATGGAATACACGAATGCTTTTACTGTTCTGTAGCTACTTCTCTTTCTTGGGAAAGGAGAAAAATTTCTAGCTTTTTTGTAAACTAATGACCAATATAGCTTCCCAATGTTCGAAATATGACTGCTGTCCCCAGATTGATTAACACATGGTATGAAATGGTTCCATAGTTACCTTTGTCTTTTTTGGGAAAGGAGCAAAATTGTAGCTTTTTTTTTAAACTAATGACCATTAAAGCTTCCCAATGTTTGAAATATGACTGCTCTGCCCCCAGATGGATTAGCACATGGTATGAAACTCTTGTCCAGTTCTTTTAAAAAGTAAGCCTATGAGGAGAATGTCAAACTTTTTCCTAAAAAGGAATGTTTCCTTGGTTTGAGAATTATAGTTTGTAGCTTGAGAATCATATTTTTATGTTTGTTGCAACTTCAAAAAAATAAAAATAAAAATTTATGTTCATTGGTCATAATCAGACCTGTAAGTGGCTGTCAGAAGCAAGTGAAGCATGATGTGGCATTTACGAATGATCGTTGTTATTATTGATTCTATGAACAATCGTGCCTTATCAAATGGTTTATTAATGACCCCTCAAAATGTCCCATAAAGAAGTTTGTCATCGACCATATTGTTCCCTCTTTTTCCCAGTCTTGTCGAAGGAAAATGTCTATTTGTCCTGTCCTCTCCCCCCATCCCTACTGTCTGTGTGTGTGTGCTCACGTATTCATAGTTACTGATTCTTCTACTGTTCATGCAGCAAGCATATGACCAGTCTACAAGTTATGACATGCAGTTTTTCAGGCAAGCCATGGACGAAAGTACACGTGGGCAAGGCATAGCATCTCCTTCAGAGGTAATAAATCCTGGGAAAGTATTTTCTGCAATCCAATTGACAATGAGAGAACCCCTTTGAATAGGAAATACTTTCTCGTCAATAGTACCTTTTCTTTTCTTTTGATCTGTAACAATGGTTGCTCATCAATGCCATCTCAAGTATGAATTTGTCATTGCATCTGATAATCGAGGCTCTCATCTCTTTTAGCTGGTCTGATAATTGAGGCTCTTAATATCTTTCAGTTTAACTATCAACAAAAGACAAATAATTTTTAACACGTTCTTGTATTCTCCTCTAGGCCCTGAACTCACACGTGAACAGCAACCCACCAACCACAGTGGCCATGGTGCAACAACAACCTGTGGCCCCACTTTATGCGCAGCCTCCTGGGGTCCACATCCCTCATTATACCAACTTTGTCCCTTACAGACAATACCTTTCCCCTCTCTATGTTCCACCCATGGCCATGCCTGCTGGTTTCTCCACAAACCCAGCTTACCCTCATGCACCAAGTGGGAGCAGTTATTTATTGATGCCTGGTGGTGGGAGCTCGCATCTAACCACTGGTGGTGCCATGAAGTATTCTCCTTCTCAGTATAAGCCTGTGCCCTCCCCTATCCCGACTGCCTATGGCAATTATGCGAACCAGGCTGGCGGGTATGGTGCGAGTACACCTGTTGTGACTGCTGGTCTTGAGGATATGTCGAGGATCAAGTACAAGGAGAGCAATCTCTACATCCCCAATCCTCAGGTATGGTGTTCATGTTTATGCATGAGCTTTTCACTTCTCTCACTAACTAGTATCTTGGACTTTTCTTGAATAGATCTTCGTTATCATTTCTTTTGTTCTTTTGGCTTTGCAAGTCAATTCTAGTACATAGGCTTACCGGGATGTTCACAGACGCTCGTATTTATCATTCATATCCGCACTCGTAGTTCTGAATCTTCTGATTGTTTCATATGCACTCCTGCGTGTTAATTGCACCCTGTTCTATCTTGACATCATAGTTCTCTGTGTGCATGACAAGCATGCCACTTGAATCATGAGTTGCCATTCAGTTGTTTCCCTTCCATTGTTACTCCCCTGTACCCCAATATGGATTTCTCATTTCCTCTCTTTCTGAAAGACCAAATGTTTGTTCTCGTACTTGGCTGGCCCGTTTTCCTTTAGGTGGTGTTTTCTCTCGGTTATTTTCTGGTGAACAAGCTTATGCACTTCTACAGATATTAGTGTTTCCCAGTTTCTATTTGGATATATTAAAGGATTGAGAGGCCCTAATGAACTCACCAATTCGAGAGCTAAAATCTTGTTGCTTGCTGTAATTTTCATGGAAAAATGCTATGATAGGGCCTACAAACATGTTTTCTTTATGAGAGCTTTCATTCATCTGGTTTTTTGAGCAGTCTCTCTCTCTAACTTTATAAGTGATTTGCAGGCTGATGGTTCTGAGATTTGGATTCAGACGCCAAGGGAGATGGGAAGCATGCAATCAGGCCCTTTTTACAATCTCTCTGGTGGGCAAGCCCCCCATGCTGCTTACGTGCCCTCTCACACAGGCCACGCTCCTTTCAATGCTGCACAATCTGCCCACCCAGCCTTTGCCGGGCTCTACCATGCACCTCAACCGTCTGCAATGGCGAACCCCCATCTTGTGCACCAGCAGTTGCCTAGCATGGGCGGCAATGTGGGACCCACCGCACAGGCGCCAGCCTATCAGCCACCACAGCTTGGCCACATAAACTGGAACAGCTTCTGACCTCTCTCTCTATATTTCTTTCGAACACCTGAAAATCATTTAGAGAAGGAACATTCACTGGAGTTCCTTCTATTAGATGACTTGAGGGGGTTGGTGGGTCTTTGTTGGTTTTTACAAAGTGGTGGGGATCTTCAAGAAAAAGCAAAAAATGGTGAGGAGAATATGTAAATTGGCTTATGCTTAGAAAGACCATGATGGGGACCTGACATTCGTCGATGTTGAGAAACATGAAAGAAGGGTTAGTTATTAAATGAATGATCAATTTCCATTGGGTATAACATCTATGCAGGCCAAAACAGAGGAACATGTTAAAATTACCGGTGGCTGGATCTTTGTAGCCTTTCCTTTTAGTAGGTGCCTACGAGAGCACCTGAATAGATTGTCCATATTCTCATTGTTGTCAAAGAAAGGTTCGACTTGTGAGTTCTGGGACCTTCCATTAAGGTAGCTGAAATTGTTTGGGAAAATAGAAGCTGCATTAGGCAGGCTGTGGGCATTCCAAGATTGAACGTGGAACCCTAGTGAGAATAACACCACAATTCAGTTAACAAAAGATAGTCTCTCATTTGTACTAAATCTGGCTGCTTGGTTCTTAAATTTCTTGTTCATAAAACAATTACTGGTTCTGAGGATCTTTTCCATAGGTCCTAAACTTGCTAATATTTCACGTTTCCTTGTTGCAAACTTCAAATTACTATGTTTGCTTTCATTTCAAAAGTGGAGAATTCATCAGGTATGTAAGCACCTTATAATCTCTAGTTAGGAAAGGTCTATATCCTTTGGTTCCTAACTAACATTGTTATGTTAGGGGTACTATACTTGTCCCCATCCACATTGGAAAGTTCGTCGAGGTTTTTTTGGTAGGTCACGAGTGGGAATAAAACCTGAGATGCACCATCACACAATCATCCAAACCATAACCAATCAAGCCAAATTCTGAATCACATGTAGATTGGACGTGTATCAATCAATTGGCCGAGTTCATGCATGGTCCAAAAATGTATGAGGTTGGGAAGATTGGGCTTGTATTAATTTTTGTAAGGTCAATTCTGAAAATGGCAAGCAGGCTTAGAACTGCTCGAGGCAGCTCAGAAGCGGTAGGTTGGCAGTCGAGGGAGTGAATATTCTGCCAGATTCGCCTGAGTCCCACTGGTTACCATTGATTTTTTCAATTTTTTTTCCCCCGGAGACGTGGCGAGCAGGCTTGGTTTAGCCCACCGGCTCGGTTTTTAAAACACTGATGCTAAATATTGTAATGCTGTTCCTATGAAACCCAAAAGTTCAAAAGAATGTCCCACAAGAGATTTGGGTGTACAGTGTGGATGACTGCGACACTGCATCTCAGGTTTGATCCCATCCTGACCAACCCAAATAATAATAGAATAATGACATACCTATGGTTTGAGCACAATTCAGCCGCATGCTCTTCAATACGCATTTCTTCTTCTCAACTTTCTCGGACTACAACATTCTCATTGCACCTTGCTTTTCTACATGTTCCTATCATCTTAAACAACGTAAATTCAAAACATTTTATTTTTGAGTCTTGCAACAGCGCAAATTCAACATATCGACCCCTGTTGTAGTCCACATCAGTAGCTTTTACTGAGCAACAGATGAGAATAGCTCCCTCCCCCTCCCCCTCCCCCTCCCCCTCCCCCTCCCCCCGCCTTCTCTCTCAACTTACATGCTTGACCTGGAAAAGAGCCTCCCAAACAGCCCTAATGGTACCGTGATTCGAAAGGCATAGTGCTACGAGTGCCATTTCAATGTTCAATCTGCCATGAACATGCTGTTTGGGGCGTGCCCAAAAAGGATCATCAAGGAAACTCAGAGCTTTTACTGAGCAACTGACAAGAATAGCTCCTCTGCCCTCCGCCTGCCTCTCCCTCTCCCTCTCCCTCTTCCTCCCTCCGCCTTCTCTCTCTCTCTCTCAACATGCATGCTTGGTGGGAGGAAGCATAAGCAGAAATGGAACGCAACTTAACCCATGCAAATCTGAATTTTCGGGGTAGATAAGCGGGTTTGTAAGAGTGACCTAGTATCTAACAATCAAAACTCTCATACAGACTTAATGTCACTGCATTAGTCCACAGACCATGGAACAAGCTCGCTTTCTCCAAGCATTTCCACATTATGGTTTCTTTGTTATGTGTCGAATTTCATATCAAGCATGTTCAAAGCAAATACCACATTCCTGCACTAATATCTCACATTTTTTAGTATTCTTGCGTAACTCTCCTCATCAGGTACATGGCACCTTCTAAACATCTCCTTGAAGACGTTCTCAGCCTCGGATGTCCTTCCGTTCTGGCGCAATTCCTTGACTATAGCTGAAAAACCCTGAACATTAATTGCCAATCCCTTTTCTATCATTTCATGGAACACACCAAGTGCCATTGCCAAATCATCATTCTCACAGTACCCCATTACCATCTCACTGTACATAGATATATCAGGCTTGTGACCATTTCTAAGCATCACAACAACAAGGTCCTCAACTTTTTGCATCCTACCTTTGCATTTACACAGACTGCAAATCACAGTAGAGTAAGAAACAAAATTGGGTGAGCACCCTTTCTTTGGCATCTGGTTCAAAATATCAATGGCCCTATTTATCTCTCCTCCTTCGCACAGAACCGTCAAAATGGCATTATAGCTTGAAACATGGGGAGTAACTCCTGCATTCACCATTCTTTCTAGCACATGTATAGCATCAACTGCTCGCCCCACCTTACAGTAAGCATTGAGAAGCACCCCATATGCTTTGCTATCAGGCTTCAACCCTTTACTCACCATTTCTTCAAGAACTTTAGCAGCATCATCCAATTTCTCAAGTATACAAAAACCCTTCAATAAACTGGTATAAGTGGCCATATCTGCCATTATTCCATTCAATCTCATTCTTGACATCATTTTCTTCGCCCCACTGATATCACCATTGATACAGAGACCATTAATCAAACAATTATAAGTCAAAACATTGGGCTCACACCCATGCTTCTCCATCTCATCCATATACTTCTTAGCAGGACCCAATTCCCCATTCTTGCAATACCCGTCGATCAATGTTGTAAAAGTAATAGTATCAGGGGAACAATCCTTATCTTCCACCATTAAACCCAAGATTTCAACAGCCGCTGATGGTAACCCTTTTCTACAAAACCCACTTATCAAAGTATTATATGTGATTACATTTGGCCTACAATCCATCCCATCAAAGACCCTTTTAGCATCATCAATCAAACCCAATTTGCAGAGTCCTCTAATGAGAGTTGTATAAGTCGAAACATCGGGTTTCACTGATTCATCCTCTAGAATTTGAGTATACAAAGCCTTAGCAAAATTGATCCTATTTGCCCTCACAAAAACACCCAACAGAGCATTATAACAGTATAAAGGTCTTGGAATTTTCCATACCTTGACTCTGTGAAACCAGTGAATGGCCCCCCTAATGTCGCCTCGATCGCCATAAGCTTTGATGAACTTGGCCACATTGAAATCTGATAAACCTTTGGAATTTAACAGTAATTCCTCAGCTGTGGAAAACATGCCATGTGAAATTAAGGTATCTGTGATTGCATTGTAGCAAGGTGGGGTGTGCCTGTAATGAGGAGAAAGAGAGGAGGCCCAGTTGAAAAAGAAGAGAGAGGATTGAGGGTCAGTTTGAGATTTAATGACTTGAATTACAATTTGGGGATTGAGGCTTGGGATGAATTGCTTTAGAGAGAGAAAGTCTGGTGTAGGAGATTGAGGATGTGAGGATTGTTTCATGGATTGGAGAATGGAGGAGATGGAGGAAAGTAGAGAGGTGTTTGATGGGGCAATCCTGGCCGTTCGTTCTGCAAAGGCCATTTTTGCAGGAGAGAGTGCTGGTTTTTAGGAGTGAAGAGTGTGAGCATGGGCGCCTAAACTAAGCACTGGTTATTGGGATGCCGAAATTACCCTCAATTTTTTGGGCATTGTGCAACAATTATTAAGAAAAGCTTACATACGGGCGAGGCCATAAACAATCAAATTGAGGCGCACCTCCAAAATTCACTAGATGCCCCCTCTCTATTCGATCATCTTTACCATAAAATATATGAAATCGATTTAAAATTTTGGAAATAGTGTTTTGGTAATGTATAATTTGGGCTGTCAATTTCTAAGTGTACATAGATCTGTTCGATCTACACTACTTTTGAAACTTTAAATTTTATAATTAAAAATAAATAAAATTTCCATACCATCACCAATATTTGTAGTACCCAAACATCATTTTTAGAGATTATTTGAAGGTACACTTAACTTTGATTCTTTGAGGCACCAGCCTTATACATACCACACCCTTTAAAAAATTACGAAAGGACCCCTCAAATTTGCCAAAATCAACTTTTTAAAGCTGATTTATGCATGTAAGATTATGAAAAAAATGAAATCCTAGTTGCTTTTATCTAACCATCACTAGGGTTTGGAGCTTTTGTCCTCCATTCCTCAAATTTATATCATATGTTGATAGATCTATTGGTTCCCATATGTTTTCATGCTAATTTTTAATTTTTGCTCAAGTCCCACGAGTTCTGTATTTTATCGCTTAAACATATTTATTTAGTTATTCAAAATTGGTCGGTCAAAACTAATCAAATATTAATTTTAATTATTTTTTAATCAAACTCAATTTTTGCTTTTGACCTGACTCGTCAAAACACTAGTTTGATAAACAATACGAGTGGTAGTATTGGTTTGACGATATGACCGGAAGGCTTCGAATGATCCAATCTTGATATTTGATTTTCATAATTGATACTAATTTACGTCATATATTGTGTTTCGGCCCTCTGAACTTACTTCCAAGGCTACATCAATGATTTCCAAGGCGTAAATTCTAGCTCGTTGAGAAAGAAACTGGATGAAAAAAATGGTACGTCAAATTTTTTATTGCCTGCATTCCAAAAGAAATTTTTTTACTTTTATTTTTATTTTTTTTATTTCTCAAACTTAAGCCATTTTCATTTAGAAAAAGCTTTCTATATGGCCCACCCACATATAAATTATGTGTGATCCCACTTCTCAATTGATCGATCTAGATAGATGGCCAGGAATTCTCATGTGATAATGTCATATTAACATATTATTTTATTTTTAATATTTTTTGCGAACATGACATGGCCCAATCCAGTCCGAGTCGGGTTCAGTTCCAACTAGGACCCTGTAGGGACCCTTTTAGATCCCTATTGCCGACTAATCTATGCCCAATTCTTGAAGTCGATCAAGTCAATAAAAGAAATTATAAACATGGAGTAGTTTCAAAAGAATTAAATAAATAGTGGGCATAAATGAAAGGGAAAGCTCTTCATGTAGCCCCACCCATATACAAAGCAAAGCAAATTGCTGGGATGGTTTGAGTTATCTCAAGAGTTAGATATCCAGCGACATAGAATGTTTTATTTTAAATATTTATTCTATAAACTTTTTTTTAGTTAAATTTAGGGCATATATACATCAAACAAGGACACACATAATAAAAATAGTAAAAAATATTTTCTTTGAGTAATTACAATAATAGCCTTGAAACTTTTGGGGACTTTTTTGTCCCTATATGTTAACATACATGGTACGGTTTGTATAGAGCCTAGGCTCTAAACAATCAAATTAGAGCCTACCTTCAAATAGTGTCGAGAAATGTGGTTTCAATATTGGAAATATTTGTGATAGTCTTAAAGTATATTTTCGTATTGATTTATAAAGTTTAAAGCTTTAAAAAAAGTGTTGATCGACATATCTATGAAAGCCTGAAAATATTGAAAATTGACGGTCCAAAAATATGTTATAAAATACATTATTTTAAAAACTTGCAATCCATTTTTTTCTCAGGTCTATGCATCTTGATGTCGAGATGATATTTGGGCATCAAAACAACCTCTTCTAGGGAAATTTTTGACGTAGACTCAAATTTGATTGTTTAGAGCCGCGGCTCTATAGAAACTTTTTCCTAACATATATGTAATGTATTTTATATGTCTTATAATAAAGGGAAAAATTTATATAGAGCCGAGGATCTAAACAATATAATTAGAGCCTACCTTAAAAATTTCACTAGAAGAGGTTGCTTTGATGCCCATATATCCTCAAATTGATCATCTCGGCATCAAGATGCATGGACATGGGAAAAAATGGATTTCAAGTTTTGAAAGTAGTTTATTTTGTAACGCATTTTTGGACTGTCAATTTTAAGATTTTCAAGTTTTCATAGATCAGTTGATTTACACTAATTTTGAAGTTTTAAACTTTATAAATAAAAATGAAAATATATTTTAAGGATATCACAAAGATTTCTAGTATTGAAACCACATTTTTCGACATGATTTGAAGGTAGGCTCTAATTTAATTGCTTAGAGCATAGGCTCTATACAATCTGCACCCTATAATAAATAACTTAAACATGAATATTGTATTAAATATATCGGCTTTGGGTGGTTAGGTTGACCTGGAGCAAGCCCCGAACTTGACACGATTTGGTTCCAGACCCTACTTTGTTACATTTGGGTCAAGTCAAATGGACCAAGACCTGACCTATCGGGTCTACCAAGCAGGTCCTAACCTGTACAGGTCGACCTGACGTCAACTCATCAGATCAGCAGGTCTAACTAACCTAATGGCTTCACTTAGTTAGGTATATGTTGTGGGCCCACTATGCTTACACGCGCCTAGCCGCCCTCAATTGGTAATTTTGACGTTCTGGTTGAGTAAATTGTCTTATTAATCACTTAGAGGCCGTTTGGCTACCTAGAAATATATTACTGCTGTAATACATTACTGCGCAATACATTACTTGCAAATGGATTGTCACTGTTTGGGTGGTATTTAGATTCCACTTAAGAAATACATTGCTACTGTTTGGCTATGTCTAGAAGAAAAATGAAAAATGCATTACCAACCAAATATGAAAAATATGGCTATGTTTGGCTAACATGATTAGACTTTGGTTTCAACATGATAAGTCATTGGAATAATATGATTTGAATAACATGATTTTATTGTGATAAGCCTTATTTTTATTTATTTATTATAGAAGTTTTTCAAATGTCTCTCTATATAGAATTTCAAATAAGCAATAAATTTATGATACCAAAATCAAAATCTTTATAGTATAAGTTAAAAAATGAGAAGAAGTTTGAGTAGTAAACTAGAAGGTTTGGTAATTGCAATAGAAAATTTTGAAGCATTGGAGGAGACTAAAGATGTATCTTATTTCAATTTAGCTTTTACTAATTATCTTATGATGATTATGTTGTGTGAAATTTTTTATTATGATTGTGTTGTGTAATTTCTCATCGATTATCAATTATTATTTTTATTATTTTTATTGTTATATGAGAGCTGATGCCGAGGGCTACAACCCAAATTTCTAATCTCTTATGAGGATTATGTTGTGTGAAATTTTTTATTATGATTGTGTTGTGTAATTTCTCATCGATTACCAATTATTATTTATATTATTTTTGTTTTTATATGAGAGCTGATGGTGAGGGCTACAACCCAAATTACTAATCTCTTATAAGGATTATGTTGTGTGAAATTTTTTATTATGATTGTGTTGTGTAATTTCTCATCGATTACCAATTATTATTTTTATTATTTTTGTTTTTATATGAGGGCTACAACCCAAATTGGGGATAGAGGGATGGACATATTTTTTTATTATGATTGCAGTAAAAAATTGTGTCTCATCAAGTTATACATCCGTTCAAATCAAGTTAAAGTTCCCCATACTTTCACTTACCAATTATTAAAAAAATTTGTTTTTATATGAGAGTCAAATGAGGGCTACGATCCAAATTAGGGATAGAGGGATGTAGAATTTTTTATTATGATTGCAGTAGAAATTTTTTCATAAGTTCGTACACATGTTCAAATCAATTTAGATTCCCCTTTACATATCCCCTCCTTTCACTTTCTACTTACCTTAATAATTATACAATACAGCGTAGACTTGATATACTTAGGTTTGGTAAGTTACTTAGGCGAGTTTGAGAGAGGAAAATGTTTTTTTAAGTGGGAATATGACAGAAAGACACACGCGAAACATTTCTAAAGACTCCAAAGATTACATGTCAGGACATGTAATAGATTTTTCACGCTTCACCGCGTGTAATGAATTTGATGATTTTTTTGGGAAATCTCAATTAATTTTTTTTTATTTTGTTATTATTAATGTATATCCAAACAGTGAAAATATCATATTTCCTTGTAATATACTATTACGTAGAAATTTTCAGGTACTCAAACTGCCCCTTAAAGAAAAGATTTAGAGTGTGAGATTTATATGCACAAAATGCCAGAGCTAGTGGTTGCTGCTTCTTTAGGGTTTTTTCAACTTAACATAGATGGGCCTCTAGATATAATCCCATTGGTTGTGGGGGTATTATCATGAATAATGCAGGTGGATTTATTAATTACTTGAGCAAGGTATTTTTTTAGCATGGGAATTAAACTGTATACCTCTTGTCATTGAAAGCGATTCCAAGCTTCTTGTGGATTCTATGAGTTGTCCCTGCAAGGCCTTTTGAAGGTTACTTATAATTTTGGCTAATTGTATGTCTATGCTTTTATCATTTGCTGCCCATCAATGGATAATTCAACACACATATAGAGAAGCACACTTATAGAGAAACTAATGTGGCTGCCGACTCTTTAGCTAAAGAAGCGATCGCTATGAATGAAGCAACCATGTAGCATGGGCGTCACCCAAATTTTGTAACGCTTTTCATTTTATCTAATGTTGCTAATGTTCCCTTACCAAAGGTTGTATGAATTCTCATATAACATATGGTTTTTAGCTTCTTAATAAAATGGGTAGGGGCCCTATATACTCACTGATTCATCTAAAAAAATGCGAGAGCTCATGCACAATCAAGACAGCCCTCATGCCTAATGGGGAGAGAGAGAGATCCAATCTTCTTTCTTGGAGATTAAACATACTATCATAGAATATGAAGATTTGTACAAAGCCCACAGGAAACATATTCATGAGAGAGAGATAGAGAGAGCTCCAATCTTCTTTCATGGAGATTAACACAAATTACCATAGCATATTGATGATTTTGACAATCAGCCCACAAGAAAAACAGAGCTATTAGCACTTTAGTGGCAAAGCATTTAACATTAACATATTTATATTAGGCCAATACATCAAACTTACATTCTTCTTTCAACCCAATTATAAACCTAAGCTCAACACAAAGAAAGACAATTAAATTATCCAGTCTCTAGATAACCGGGTTCTTGAATTAGTAGGCAACATAATAGGAATATCATAATAAGCACTAGGCACCAAACACCACTTAAGCAAACAATGAGTCCCTCTCAGTAGTGGCCAGGAGGTGGTGGCGAAGTGTATCGGAAAATGGGGTACGGATGGTAAGGAGGAGGAGGAGGCTTGTGGTGGTGCTTGTGCACATGAGGTGGAGGTGGTGATTTGTACTTGTAAATAGGAGGCGGGGGCGATTTATACTTGTATATAGGAGGAGGAGGAGGAGGAGGAGGTGGAGGAGTTTTATACTTGTAAGTAGGAGGAGGGGGTGATTTATACTTGTATAATGGGGGTGGAGGTGGAGATTTGTATGTGTAAAATGGTAGTGGTGGTGGTGGAGATACGTATTTGTATGAGTGAGTTGGAGGAGGAGGAGACTTGTATTTGTAAATGGGTGGTGGAGGAGATTTGTACTTGTATATGGGTGGTGGAGGTGGAGACTTGTATTTGTAGATAGGTGGTGGGGGTGGTGATTTGTATTTGTAAATGGGTGGTGGTGGAGGAGGAGATTTGTACTTGTAAAAGGGTGGTGGAGGAGGAGACTTATACTTGTAAAAGGGTGGCCAAATGTGGTGGTGGTGATGGTGCTTAGGTGGTGGAGGGGACTTGTAAGAAAGCCACAATTCACCACCACTGGAGGTGATGCCGCCACCTAAAGAGCAGGCCAGTGTGAGCAAGAAAAGCTTGAACAGAGGGCCGGGAAAACCCATTCTTTTCTTTTGTGTGAAAAGAAGTGAAGGGGTTTTAGGGATTTAAATAGACATGAAATGTGTGGGCCTTGTGCCCTGGTAAAAAAAAACTATGATTCTTTGCAGTGTGGCACAGAGAAAATGGGAAAAGAAGGGAAACAATTTGAAAATTTTCATCTCTTTTGCAGGGTTTTGTGAATGTAAAGTGAGGCACAAGTGGGAAAGGGTGGTGGTATTGAATATGGAGGTTATGAGAGAGAGTGTGTGTGTTTTAATAGGGAATGCAGGAGAATAATGGAGGGAATGCGCGTGGGTCCAAGTGGTACTGAAAAAGTGGTGAGCTCTGAGAATTCGCCTTGCATGGTTGGAATTGGATGGGATGGTTTGCATTTTCGCAAAATAGAAAATGGTTAAAATAGTATGGTCGGATTTTAGAGTGAATTACTAAAATAAGAAATGAGTCAATTTTGGGTTAAAATTATACACAAGGTCGGTCAATGTAAGGTTTTTTATTGTTTCCTAACATGCCCCATGGTTACCATCCTTGGACCATATTTTAAATTTTTTGTTTTTTTTTTAATAGTATGGTTGTGCCCTAACGTTTGGGCAGTGCCTAGTCAGTCCGATGTTGGATCGTTTTCCGTGGTGCTCTTCAAAACAGTCTGAGGTTGGCATCCTCGGACTTCGAAGACTAACATTATTAAGCATTCAAAGGCGGTCCGAATGGCTCATTCTCATAATGCCGTCTCTGGTGCTCTTCGAGGCACTCCGAAGTTGGCATCCTTATACTGTATTAGCTCATTTGCTTGCTACGAGATAAGATGGTCTGAGGATGCCAATCTTGGATTGGGCACTGACCCTCCTTTTATTGTATTGCCTTACTAATGAAAAAATTAAAATAAAAAATAAAAAAATAAAAATAAATATGAGGATACCATCCTTGTACTAAACGGTAAATTTGAATAAAAAAAACACGAGTTGGGTGGCCTTCCACCTAATTTTCGTTCAAAAGTGACCCATTCCGTACATATTACTCTAGATTTTAACATGTATTAATCAATATAGGAGATGCCTGTTCTTCACATTTGAGAAAATGTTTGACATGCCTCATTCTCCTCCCCTTTTTTGCCGTCGACATGGAGGTCTTTCCTAGTTTGGACTCTATCTCTCTCCCTCTCCCCTCCCACGGTGATGCAAGACATGGTGTTTCCACTTACAGCCAGTGTTACTACAGTAGGCTTTGGCATCATGTCACCGTTAAACATATGTAGGCATGTCAACATGGGTCGACATATAAGGACATTGATCATATAGAAATAATAATTAAAAGTGAAAGAAAGAGTTTATATGAGGTGCTAGAAGTAATGCACTTCAAAAACCCACCGGAAAAAGTTGCTCCAATACTAGAAGACACTCAAATCGATTATCTTGATCTCGAGATGCAAGAATATATTTAAACAAAGTGATTTTAAGTTATGATAAAAGTGCATCTTGTAATATATTATCTAGACCATCCATTTTCAAGATTTACAAGTGTTTATATGATTGCTTGAACTGCACCACTTTTGAAGCATTAAATTCCATAATTAAAGGTGAAAAGCCATCACAAAGCTCTTTGGCACCCTGAGTACATCTTTAGGCACAATTTAGTGGTGGATTTACTTTGATTGTTTAAGATTTGGGACCCCATACACACCACACTCATAAAAAAATCATTTGATTTAGCCGCGCTTGTTCCCACTCAAGTCATTTGAGTTACCCCTGCTCATTCTACCGCTCCTTATTCCACTTGTGTGGTTTTATTAAAAGCAAAAACTATATAAGGATTGTCTACAAAGAGACCAATTATCTTTTGTATGAGGAGGTCGCATTCATTTTTGTCCCTTAGATTTCGAAATGGGTGGTTGTAAGAGTGTCATTAATTAGACAAAATTGTAAAAAAAAATCTCAGACTTCGTAACTCACCCCAAGCCATCCAATTTGACATCTAATAAGTGGGAATAGTTGTGACCTCCTTGCACAAAAAATAGATAGCCTCTTTGTAGACAATCCAACTATATATTATATCATGGGGGAAATGATCTAATGCAACGGTTATATAGTAGTATAATGCAACCACACATCTAGAAAACCATATTTTTGGCATTTGTATGACTCAAAATTTTGCACACACATTCTCTTCATCCTCGTAATCAATCCTACAAAAAAAAAAAAATCAATTTGCACCTTAGATTTGGTCAAAATTAGAACCCATACAACAATGAATCTTGACCATCTATTTGATGAATTTCAATATCTAGGTCTTAACAAATTCAAAATCACTTTTTTGTTTTTTAGCATTATTAATCTAATGATGATAACACTATATAAAAATTTTGGGAATAAATAAATCCTTCTGAAGCCTATATCTAAGCCTATATCTTACACACTTGTCGGCAACCAGATAACATTCCTAGAGATTGCATAGTCATGCGAGGGGAAGAGGTGGACGATTGGGGAGCTCGAGAACCTTTTCTTCAATAAGGGAAGGTATGATTTACAGAGATAACCAGTTATCTTAGGTACAGCTCACAGTTACCGATGGCCATTAGAAATGAAATCAAGTGGTTCGGAGCAGTGTTATCAAGATTGGACCATCCAACGAGCTTGTTGAAGGGTCTGGTTCAGTCTAGCACTCTTCGGTCGATCAAAACTATATTATCCTATTGGCTAAATTCGGTCAAATATCAATTTGACTAGGCTTTCATAAAACTTAATTTTTGCTTTGGACTAGAACGTCTAAAGTACCGTTTGGCAGTTTGACTAGTCAGATTGAGTGGTTTGGTCTAGTCCTCCTAACTGTGGCCAAGAACGTTTCATTGAATGGACTCGTCAGAGTTTTGTGACACTCCCCTAACTATTGAATTTCACATTTTATGGTATAAGGTGATTATGACGTTCTTATGCCAATAATAAATAATCTTGTAATATATAATCCTTCAGTTTATTAACTTACTACGGCCATTGTTTCCCATGACCCCAAATTTTATGGCACTACCAAGTACATAAAAACCGAATATTAAACAAAGTTGGGAAACGACAGGAGGAAAAACTAAGAGTAAAACTCAAATTATGAGAAAAATCTTTATCTCCACCATGCACAAGCACTTCAAGTAGTAGTAAAAAAGAACGGTTTGTTGATTAATTTTTGACTTAATCACTGCTAGATTCAAGAACCAGTAAAAAAAAAACACTTTTGTTGATTAATTTTTTACTCATAACCCCCTTATTTATTTTTGGAAAATTACCATGGTGTCCACTAGAGAATGAGTATTTAACATTCTACGATATAGTCTGATTTAATATTAAATATCCATAAAAACACATGATCATAATATGGAATAGGACTGCAAAGTGTTAAATAATGCATCTCATTGATATTTTGATAAATTTCTTAAATAATGCGTCTCATTGATATTTTGATAAATTTCCCTTTATTTATTTATATTCCACTGCCTCATACACTGGGTTGAGCTTTGGTTGTTTTCAATTGGGGTTTAGCTGGCTTTTGGTGTTTTGGGACTTTTGTTTGATTTGGGTTTTTGGAGGGTTCTGTAAATGTTTAGTTTTGGGATTTGGTTCTGACTCAACTACACAAAAGACCTGCCAAGATTGGCTCTGCAAGAAACTTCCTTCCCCCCCCCCCCCCCCCCCACTTTTGAAGGGGAACACTTTCAGTTTTCTTCCCAAATGACTGCATTAACCCCATCTAGGTTAATGTACCTAGTTGTCCTAGTCTTGTTAGAATCCAGTTATTTCTTTTTTGGTTATTTTATTTTATTTTTAATTTAGATGAGTGTTATCGAAATCGGACCGGCTTAATTGTAATATAGTACAGTCAAAACGTCTCAAGCTGTCACTCAAATTGGTTGAATTAGATTATTGGAAAATAAGTGAAACATGAAGAATAAATTAAAAAATATACATTTAAAAGGCTTTTTAAAATTCATTTTATTAAAGGAATAAGTCAAAACGAGCTAGTTTGAACAGTGAAAATCAATCAAAGATAAGTTTTGATTAGTTTTTGACTAAACTAAATTTTAACTTTAGACTATATTCGCCAAAGCATCGAAATCTGACTCTTGCTTTTGGAACAGACACACCAGGCATGGACCCGTCTTGATCCTAGTTCTACCAGCCAACTCAGTCTCCATGGCATTGGCTCATGTCTAAATCTTGCCTTAAATTTTGGCAAAAGTTTCAACGATACCTAGGTTGGATTTGAGGTCACTTTCATTCAATTCTCAACTGTGCCATGGCGTGCTAGAGAAAAACAGGGATGCAACGTAGAAACAAAGAAAGAAAACCCTAATCTATTATCTTGTTTTCTGCTTTTTAGAGTTTTGGGGTATTGTGAAATGGGTTCATAGGTAGTAGAGAGAGAGGGGAGATGAATTTGCAGAGCTTTGCAGAAGTAGCATGCGCAAGCATGCCTTTTCATTCCTGCATGCCTACTATCTTTTCAGTCTTTTTATTCCTTTTCCTGTTCTTTTATTCTTTTTTGGGGGCTTGCATTATCTCACTTGCTGCAAAAATCCAAAACTGGGGTTTTATGGTTACATTTCTTCTCCATTTTGTCTTTGGTTTTTGTAGTTTCTTTTTTTCTGCTTGAATTCTTTAGGGAGGTTGTGTTGTGACATCAGTACCAAACTTGTAAGAATGGGGTATTAGGGTTACTTTTTTCTTTTTTTGTAGGGTTTTGTACAGGCAGTATAACTTTTCAATGGTTATTACTTAGTAGGCTATGCCAACTGGCTAGTACCATTGGTGGGAAATTTTGGCAGCCTAGTTTCCCCTAAAATCATGAAGTTTTTGGATGAAGTTTCTATAGGGTCTAGGAAAACAAAATAAAGGCTTCACATCAAATCCTCATATGGAAAGCACTTTCATAATATCCATGATGCATTTAAATTAATTTCCAACATTGATAATAAAATTTGAAACTAAAAAAATTCTATTGATCTTGTTGATCTATGAACACA